ACACCATTTGTTTTGTTGGGATATAAATGTTTAAAAAACAAGACAAATGTTCAGACATAGACTGGTGAATAAAATAAATTGTTCAAATAATATATTCGTTCAACTGTTTTATATCCAAACAATTACTTTTTGTTCATCAATTTGTATCCGACACATTAAATTTTTGTTCATAAATTTAAATCTAAATTATATAAATAATGTGTACTAAGATTTTTGTGTGGTGTTAAATAGACTCACCACCTAATTATGGTGAAATTCTATGTCCCTACTTTAACTAAAACCAGGTGCATTAAAATAAGAAAAATGATTGGAAGCTCTAATAAGCTTTAATGGGAGTAGACTATGTGATGATTTGGCCTTGGTTTTATTTTATTTTTATTTTTTCTTATCCTCTGTACATCATTAGAGCTCAATTAAAATTTCAAAATTGAGGGAATATACCATTGCTCTTAAATAAATGGTAATTCGATATAAATTATCCTTTGTTTTATCTTTTCAAAGATCATCTCACTGCCATCCATCACCTACACCAAAGGACAATACTCGTTTTTTTGCATATGGTTGGAACTTGGAACTGTCTGAACATATTTCCTTTTTATGGTCATGAATATAGCACGAGGTTTTTTGTATCAAATCTCTCAATATGCACCTCTAACTATTAGGTTATGTCTTAAAATTCATATATTTCGAAATTTTTTATGTATTCAAAGATATAGAATATATCGGAATAGAGAGATAAAAAAAATTTGAAGACAGATAATTCTTGGTATGAATTGATTTGGATTTATCAAGCATCCTTGAGCATATCTACTACAGTATAGTTCCACTAATTTTCCAATCACGGTGTCTTGCTACAGAGAAGGTGCCACCTAAATCCCACAAATTGCTAAAAGTGAAATTTTGGGGTTTTCTCCATTTAATATTTCCATTTTTATAATTAAATCAGAGTCAGATGGTTGGTGGCTCATGAATTAGTTCAGTAGGCTTTGGGCATGGGGTGGACCACCTCTGTGATCTATGAATCAATTTGCTGGTTCAAGTTAGGCCTACTAGATATAAGTATAACGATATAATTGCAATTCTTAGAATGGTTATAAAATTTTGGATAAAATTAAATTTTTTTTTTAAAGTTTGGTCTATTTTTTAGGTGGGTCCCGTGCGTCGATTTCATGGGTCAAAGTGGTAAGCGTTCTATGCCGCGTTGTGATTCACGTGGTATATTTGGTTTGCTCAAAATCATTACCGAGTAAATGGGAAATTGAAACCAAAGTGTGCTCCATGAAAATGGAGTTTTGGTGGAAATTCCTTAAGCTTTGTAAAATGGCTTTGTCCCACATTGATTTAGTGGGAGGTTTTGAATGGATTTATAAGGCTTGGGTTTGATACTTGGGTGTGCCCCAAGGGGTACCAAGTGTTTTTAGAGGGAGAGGTTATGGCCAAAATGGGCTAGACCCATTGGACCCAAAAATCACCACACGCGCACGCCACCGCCATCCGGTCGGGCGATCTAGGCTTGGGCACGGGTGCATGGTGTGAGGTTGGGCTTGTTCGGTCCAATACTTTTTACTGTACACCCAAACAGGGCCCTTCCCGTTTTGTTATTTGTTTGAATTCAAAACCAATAGCACCATTACATCTATAAATAGACTAACCTCCCATTTGGATTTAACTCCAATTTTCGGACTCCATCCTCTGATAAAAATCTCTGCATTTTGTTGTATTTATTTTCTGAACGAAAGAGTGTAAACACTTAGTGTGTTCGTAAGGCAAACAATTTGTAGTGCTGTATTGTTTGTAATAGATCATTTCATCCTGGGAGATAGACGTCCAATTTCTGAAAGCACTGTGGAGAGGACGAATCTGTCTTAAGGCACAGTGTCAAACATTGGATTTGATCAAATTATAATTCGAAGAAATTAAATCAAGTAAGGTATTTAATTTATTTCCAGTCTTTATTATTTATTTAAATCAGATTTTATTTTTTTGTAACAAAATAAAATATGTTTTCATTTATTTTTATTTTTATTTTTATTTCGAGTTTGATTTTGTAATCAAACAAATTCTCTCATTTCCTTTATTTCTTTATATTCTGGTTATTGTTAGTACAACAACAGAATTTAATTATTTAAATACAGTGAAGATTGTCCTTCAATCCCAAACCAGTTTAACTTTGAATTATGGATTAATTTCTCGAATGCCCCCAATTGTAGGGCAATCTTCACTGTATTTATTTTTATTTTGTGTTTGATTTTTATAGTCAAACAAATTCTCTCATTTCCTTATTTTCTTTATATTCTGGTTGTTGTTTAGTACAACAACAGAATTTAATTAATTTAAATACAGTGAAGATTGTCCTTCAATCTTAAGACAGACTCGATTTTTGTTTTTTGGTATCTTCATAGTATTTAATTTTCTGTGCTTTCAAAGTATATTTCTGGTTGGAAAAACAAATAGTGATTTATGCTTTTGACAGATAGTAGTAATATACTGTCTCTTTTCTTTGACAACTAGTAGTAATATACTGGTGTCATAACAATTGCAGAATATTATTTGGTGTTACAGAAAATTATTTTGGTATTTGATCACCTACATATGTATAATAAATTGTGAGCTAAAGCCCAGTGAATAACAAATGTGTAAAGAGGTTAAGAATGATGTCCTTACTGTCTTTGAAACAATCGATTTCAATCAATATTTTTTGTCAATCAATCGTTCAATCATTCAATTCGATCAATAATTTTCAATCATATTCATATTCATATTCATAGAGGTCATAAGGGGTACATCCAATAGCAACAATACAATACAATAGGTCTTAAAGACCGAACAATCAATTAATAGCCATCATACAATAACAATAGTTCCAAGATTTGGAATTGACAGAGATCCCTGTAACAATAGCAATATCAATAATAATGACGATAACAATACGCTATAGATGCCATGGATACAATTCAAAAGAGGATTATCATTCAATCGATAGAAAGCAACCATTTAAAAATAATATACTCTTTCGTTCAGAAAATAAATACAACAAAATGCAGAGATTTTTATCAGAGGATGGAGTCCGAAAATTGGAGTTAAATCCAAATGGGAGGTTAGTCTATTTATAGATGTAATGGTGGCTATTGGTTTTGAATTCAAACAAATAACAAAACGGGAAGGGCCCTGTTTGGGTGTACAGTAAAAAGTATTGGACCGAACAAGCCCAACCTCACACCATGCACCCGTGCCCAAGCCTAGATCGCCCGACCGGATGGCGGTGGCGTGCGCGTGTGGTGATTTTTGGGTCCAATGGGTCTAGCCCATTTTGGCCATAACCTCTCCCTCTAAAACACTTGGGTACCCCTTGGGGCACACCCCAAGTATCAAACCCAAGCCTTATAAATCCATTCAAAACCTCCCACTAAATCAATGTGGGACAAGCCATTTTACAAGCTTAAGGAATTTCCACCAAAACTCCATTTTCATGGAGCACACTTTGGTTTCAATTTCCCATTTACTCGGTAATGATTTTGAGCAACCAAATATACCACGTGAATCACAACGCGGCATAGAACGCGTTACCACTTTGACCCATGAAAATCGACGCACGGGACCCACCTAAAAAATAGACCAAACTTTAAAAAAAAAATTTAATTTTATCCAAAATTTTATAACCATTTCTAAGAATTGCAATTATATCTGTATACTTATATCTAGTAGGCCTAACTTGAACCAGCAAATTGATTCATAGATCACAGAGGTGGTCCACCCCATGCCCAAAGCCTACTGAACTAATTCATGAGCCACCAACCATCTGACTCTGATTTAATTATAAAAATGGAAATATTAAATGGAGAAAACTCCAAAATTTCACTTTTAGGCAATTTGTGGGATTTAGGTGGCACCTTCTTGTAGCATAGACACCGTGATTGGAAAATTAGTGGAACTATACTGTAGTAGATATGCTCAAGGATGCTTGATAAATCCAAATCAATTCATACCCAAGAATTATCTGTCTTCAAATTTTTTTATCTCTCTATTCCGATATATTCTAATCTTTGAATTACATAAAAATTTCGAAATATATGAATTTTAAGACATAACCTAATAGTTAGAGGTGCATATAGAGAGATTTGATACAAAAAACCTCGTGGCTATATTCATGACCATAAAAGGAAATATGTTCAGACAGTTCCAAGTTCCAACCATATGCAAAAAAACGAGTATTGTCCTTTGGTGTAGGTGATGGATGGCAGTTGAGATGATCTTTGAAAAGATAAAACAAAGGATAATTTATATCGAATTACCATTTATTTTAAGAGCAATGGTATATCCCTCTAATTTTGAAATTTTAATTGAGCTCTAATGATGTGACAGAGGATAAGAAAAAATAAAAATAAATAAAACCAAGGCCAAATCATCACATAGTCTACTCCCATTAAAGCTTATTAGAGCTTCCAATCATTTTTCTTATTTTAATGCACCTGGTTTTAGTTAAAGTAGGGACATAGAATTTCACAATAATTAGGTGGGTGAGTCTATTTAACACCACACAAAAATCTTAGTACACATTATTTATATAATTTAGATTTAAATTTATGAACAAAAATTTAATGTTCGGATACAAATTGATGAACAAAAAGTAATTGTTTGGATATAAAACAGTTGAACGGAATATATATTTGAACAATTTATTTTTATTCACCAGTCTATGTCTGAACATTTGTCTTTTGTTTAAACATTTATATCCAAACAAAACAAATGGTGTTTACTAAGATTTCTTATGGTGAGTGAATAGAATTTCTCTAATTAAATAGGTCTAATTACCAAATTGACCATTAACACTTTAAAATTTACAATAGTGCACACCATGCCTCTCTAATTTTTTTTTTTGTTTGTGTGTGTGTATTTATTAGAATAATAAATAACGGAGCACCAAATTATGAGCCAATATTTTCCATTTATTTGTACAACACCTTAATGAAGTTAGGTACATCAGTAAACCAACTACAGTACCTCCTGGAGATGTACTCTTTTTCTTTTTCTTTTTTTCCTCTCCTATAAATTTCAAAACCAGTATTCATCAAATCGTGCTCAAAGTACTATCAACATGGCAAAGCTCAATGGCACCCCCACCAACATCCTCCCCAACTCACACATTGAAGCTGCCCAGTCTGTGACACCAACCAAGGCAACCGATCCAAGACTGTCACGCCAAGTGGCTATCACAGACTCTGCCACCTCAGCCATTTTCCGGAGGCGATTCCAAGCCATTCTGTACTACAAGAAGGCGTTGAGTGAGGAGTCAGGGTGGTTGTTGGTGGGGTGGATGAAGTTGTCGCTAGGGAAGGCTTTGGAGGAGCAACCTATCCTTGCTGGGAGGCTCCGGAGAGGGGAAGGAGGCAAAGGGGAATTGGAGATTGTGTCAAATGATAGTGGTGTCAGAGTGATCGAAGCGCGGATCTCCACAACCTTGGCAGAGTTTCTTGATTTGAAGGAGAGGGAAGATGCAGAGGCTGAGCTTGTGTTTTGGAATGATGTTGATGATCAAAATCCTCAGTTTTCTCCATTGTTCTATATCCAGGTAAGTGACAGTAACACATGTATGTACTATAGTCTTTATGGGGTAAATTTAAGCAAACTTTGTAATATATATAATTTTTTTTAATAATCAAGAACACATGCCTATGGACCCATCCTAAAATGAAAAATTCAAGGTTCAAAGACTACCCCTAAGCAAGTGAACCAGACAAACGGAAAGGGAATCCAACCCTTGTCAATAAGGTGGGGACCATACCCATATACCCACTTATAGCCATCTTACATTGTGTTTAGTTAAAAGATTTGGGAATGGATTTGGAAAGAGAAAGGGAAATGACATGTGAAATTAAATGAAATATAAGTATGTTTTATTCGTATTTCACTTCTCTTTTTTCTTTCCCTTTCCCTTTCCAACTCCCTAACCAAACACAATTACTGTTCTATGAATTGAAACCGTATGATTCTTGCATTTTCCTTTTAATGTGACCAAGAAGTGTATTTTGAGTTTTTTTTTTTTTTTTTTTTTTTCTCACCAACCCAATTGGCTCAAACCAGACCAAACACCGCGGCAAAATTATGATCTTCAAATCTTCCACCATCAAAGATTTGAATTTGAATGATGAGGCACGCAAGGCACTCGCATTGCAGTGTGTCGAGGAGGCAGAGAGCAAGTTTGGTGTCAAAATGGCTTCAGATTTATCTTTGTTTGTGAAAGAACTCTCAGAGGAGGTCATAAAGGTAGAGAAATTTGCAAGAGAAGGGCTTCTGCAGAAGCCAAAGGGGTGTGGGAGTGGACTCAGTTGTGCAAATTGGGAAGATTTAGGGGCTAGTGAAGTAAATTTCTTTGAAGGGAACAGGCCTGTTTGTGTTTCTTATTGGATTAATTCTGTCCCTGGTGAAGGATTTGTGATCCTAATTCCATCTGTTGATGAGGGTGTCTCTGAAATGAACATCTTTGTCACAGTTCCTAGTGAGACTGAGATGTAACCACCCCTTTACTTGGATGATCCATAGACCTTTTGGTTTTAGATTTCTTTCTAGTTTCAGCGTGTGGTATTAAGAATTCTTGTACAAGTGAATAATCTGTCTGGCGGTCTAAAGGCCTTGTACCTTATTAAGAGATCAGGAGCTCGATTCTTTCCACCTACTTGTAGAACATTTCTTGTGTAATTGTTGGGTTTGTTATATGTTTGAGGTAATAAGACGGTGGATTTTCTTACATAGTTAAATGTTTAGTCAAATGTAAATCTCAGAACATTTTATGTGTTTGGTAATATATTGTTGGATTTTCTTCAGCAGTTATGGTGTCGTTTGGGAATTTATTTTTTTAATGATTTTTTGACATTTTATAAATAAATAAAAAAGACGTGCAAAATATTAGAGATAATGACTTGACATTTTGTAGAGACTATTTTACTAAAAATTAACATTCCCAAGCGAGACCTAAATGTTTAGTTAAACGTAAACCCCATAATAGTTGTAAATATATCCAAACTTTATTGTAGAAGGATGCAGCGTTCCCTTCCTTTATTCCTCTTGTATTGATTATGAAAGGAAAAAGAAAAAAAAATGGACTTGTAGTTTGCATAACTTATTCCTTCCTCCCTTGGAACTATTGATTTGTATCAATGTGAACCTTTCATTAAAAGTCTGTTATATAAATAGATAAAAATTTAACACATGACTTATATATGACATCTCAAATATTGTAAAATGGTTCAAGTAATTATATTCTTCTCTTTCTCTTCCTCTTTCTCATTTCCCTATTTCTCCTACCCACCACACCAATATCCAAGGCTTCTTACACTTTGACTTCCACACGGTTGTCGTGGATAGGAGAAATAAAGGAAAAAGAGAAGAAGGTAAATGTAAACAATTGTAATTTTTTAAATCATATACAAGTGAGATGTAAAATTATTATCAATTGATGTAATGAATTTTTTTATAGAATGTTCACATTGATTTAAATTGATAATTTAAAATTGTAAAATATTACATTTTTTAGTTAAAGAGATAAAATGGTATTGAGTAATAGTTGCAATTTGCTCAATAATTAATGAAAGCAACATAGCTGAGTTTTTAGGTAACAAGAAAACAACCTACCTTACCCATAAAAGCAACTAGTAATTAGATTACTTCAATCTTTTTAGATTATGCCTTTTCGTAAGAAAACACACAATTAATTAACTATCAAAACTTGTAATGGCAACATCAACATCGCAAATAAAAATGGGTTACTTCTCAATCTTAGGTTTGAAATTAGATCATAAACAAGTTAGCACTTCACAATGAAGTAATAATATACAAAAAAAAAATAATAAAATAAAAAAATTATAGAGATGAGTGTTAAATTGTGAAGTCTATCATTTTAAAATGAAAACTTCATTAACATGTCATTTATTTATTACAAAAATTATAATGTAAACATAATAATAAATTGAAAGAATAATGTTTTTCATATCTAAATTAGTCATTTTCGCATGAGACAACTGGCATTTGACTACGAAATGGTTTAAATTTTGTATATTTTCATACTCACATGTCATACAAGAGTAATATTGACAACCACACCAGTTGTTGGAATGTATCACTTTAAAAACAAGAAAAAATGATATTTGTAATGTCATTTAACTTGCATTTGAATTTCAGATTTGAGAATGATTTGTAAAATATATATATGTAAAAGAAAATTTTCAATTCTTGTTTCAGTCTACAAATTCTTCCACAAACAAAGACATTTGCTAATATTTTTATCTGACTAAATACTAGTGTCATCTTCGCTTGGAACTCGCAAATATTTAAGAAAAACAGATGATGAAATTTGAGTAAAATAATTTCAAAAGTTTGAAGAGCATAGAAAGGCAATGGTTGCAACTTTCAAATTACATCTCTCTCTCTCATGAGCTTTAATGAAGGAGAGCAACTCCTATTGCGATATACACAAACTGGTTGCTATGTCGGGGTATAGCTTCTATCTTATTTATTTTGCTTATTTTTTATTTATTTTCCAACATTAGAGGTCATGTTCTAAGGTTCAATTCAACAAATAAAATAATATTAATAATTTTGTTAGAATAGCTTTAGCATAGCTTTAGCAGACTTCATTATTATTTGTATAGCTTTATGATAGACTAGCTTTAACTTTATATTATTAATTGTATAGTGTTTGCTTTCGGTGATAATGGTGGTATCCAATGCCCCTTTCTCTCTCTATAAAGAGAGCCTTCATCTCTTTGTAAATCACACAACATAATACAAACATATCAGAGTCTCTCTCTCACTCTATAGCTTCTCTCACTCTCTCAAACTAATCTTTCATGGTATCAGAGCCCAGTGTTACATTTCTGGCAATTTTCAATTTTTTGTGTTTAGTCCCGTACACAGTGGCATACATCAAAACGCTCGGAATTTTCTCACGATTCCAACGGCACCTAGCCCGTTCTCAGAACACCCTCCACGCGCCCACACGCGCCGCCTTTACCTTCTGCGCGTCACCAGCTCCGCCACCACTCTCACACGCGCCCGCACGCGCCATCTGTTGCTACTCACCTCCGCCATGCGCCTCCACGCGCCCACACAACCGCGGCTGACGTCAGCCTTGCCACTCCCGTACGCCGCGCCTGCTATTGTGCGCCTTTCGTGCGCCGCTTCACTACATTGCACCCGCGTGCGCCAAAACGGCTATTGTGCGCCGCGCCTGCGCCTGTTTCACTACAGTGCGCCGCCGCCTTTCTGCTAACGTGCTCCTCCCTGCACTCTGCTAACGTGCGCCGCTGACATCATCGCTGACATCATCTCTGTCCAGCAGCCTTTTCTGGCTATTTTCGACCTTCCGGACTCACTGGTACACTCTGTTTTACCAAATTTTGCTCCTACAGGTCTCTTCCTGCTGCTTTAATCCTACTTAACTAGTATTATGGATCGTCTTGACACCTCCCATCCCATTTCCGTTATTCTGAATGGTTCACGGTGACGTCCAAGTCTTGAGGACGGTCAAAAATGGGGTGTCTACAGATATGACGATGACCCCTTACGACTTCTCGATGCTTACTGGCATGGGGGTAGGGGGTGATCCGATCCCCTTCGACACGGATATAGATGAGTGGGACGCTGCCCAGCTGTACCTGCTTGGCGCTCAGCCTCCCCTCGCTCGAGTGAGATTCGTCAGGTATTCCTGGTTCGAGAGCCGTTTTCGGGTCCGGTCGGCCTTGGCAGAGGAGGCGCAGATGTCCCCGGAGGAGATTCAGCTGTCCCCGGAGGAGGTAGACCAGTACGCGCGGGGCTTCATTATGTTCCTCTTTGGGACGACTCTCTTCGCCGATCGGGCAAACACCGTGCCCTTATCCTTGCTGAGCGCGCTGGTGGACGTCAGGCAGTTCTGCCATTACGACTGGGGTGGCGCCACTCTGGCCACTTTGTACGGTTATATGAGCTCTTTTTCCCGCCTCAGCGAACAGCTCCTTGGTGGCTACTGGCGAGCCTGGAAGGTACGTCCTCTTCCCTTTTTACATTTCTGCTTCTTGCTTTCTGTATTCTGCACACTGCACATATACTGTGCACTGCCCCACACTGGCTGTACACTGCACACCCGGCACACATATACTCTATTTTACACTGACTGCACACTGCACACTCTGCACACTCTGCACAATACACTGCACAACACATGGTTCTGCTATTTCTGCTTTATTCTGTATTCTACCTTATCTGATAGTCATACTGATATCTGTTCTGCAGTTATGGGTGTATGCCTACTTTCCTAGTCTTGCCCCAGTACCCGATGAGGAGATCCCGCTCGGCGTCCCCTTCTCTCATCGCTTCGACGTGCGATGTGTGCGGAGACCACGGGAGTCTCTTACTTTCTTCCGCCGATACTTCGACACCATCACCGCCGCGGAGGTATGTTTAACTTTTTGAGTTTATTATTTTTTGCCTCGCTTTGCACCGTATGTTTTCAATAACGGTAGATAATAAACTGCATTTCATTTCCAGATCACCTGGCAGCCCTGGGCTCCGTTGCCGGCCGTGGTGAGGGATCATTACGA